CAGAATCTCTACAGAATTTCTACAGAATCTCTACAGAATTTCTACAGTATCTACAGAATCTATACAGAATCTACATAATCTCTACAGAATCTCTACAGGATTTTTACATAATTTCTATAGTATCTCTACGTAATCTCTACAGAATTTCCACAGACTCTACAGCATCTCTAAACCTGTTTAAATTTTCTTTGACACCTTTTGCTTTACACTGTATGGTTAGCATTGTTTGCAAAATAAAGAGCATTATTGTTATTATTATTATTATTACAGAATCTCTACAGAATTTTTACAGAATCTCTACAGAATTTCTACAGTATCTCTACAGAATCTCTACAGGATTTTTACATAATTTCTACAGTATCTCTACGTAATCTCTACAGAACCTCTACAGAATTTCCACAGACTCTCTACAGCATCTCTAAACCTGCTTAAATTTCTTGACACCTTTTGCTTTACAGTGTAATGTTAGCATTGTTTGCGAAATAAAGAGCATTATTGTTATTATTATTATTATTATTACAGAATCTCTACAGAATCTCTACAGAATCTCTACAGAATCTCTACAGAATCTCTACAGAATCTACAGAATCTCTACAGAATCTCTACAGAATCTCTACAGAATCTCTACAGAATCTCTACAGAATCTCTACAAGATTTTTACAGAATCTCTACAGATTCTCTACAGAGAACGTACAGGAATTCAACAGTTTGTAGAATGTGCGGGATCTACAGAATCTCTGGATCTACGTCTACTCAACTCAACTTTCTACAGACCCGATATATAGGTTCCTGCAGCATCCATGTGAGCTTTATAGACTCTACTGAATTTTGACAGAGCCTCTACAGAATTACTGCAAAAATGCTGGATTTAACGATCGTTAAAAACCTGTTAGAATTTTATCATTCAAATTTTTCTTTCTCTTAGTCTAAGCAATAGCTAATTACACATTGTGAGCTTGAGAGAAATTGAAGTACCTAGTCGTTAAATCCATTTTCTGTTACTTTAAATTAAAAGAGAAGCACTCGAAAAATAGGTACGAAATATAAGAGACGATAATTTTTTATACGACCGGGGCCGGAATATACATCAAAAGTATCAAACGTGGCATTTAAGATGAACATATTTAAAGTTTACCGAATCGAGTGCATATGAATAAAACAAAGCGAGCTTAGGCCGAGGCGTCTGGAGCGGTATATGTTTGGGAATAATTTAATACATCTTAAGAATATGGAGTCACGTATAGGAAGACGTCGGAATATTTAACCGACGAAAATGGCAGTTATTATCGGGGATGAATTTTGCAAAAGCTTCCCCGTACTCCACTAAAAACAATACGGGAAGATTCCCTTCTCGACTTTATTAAGGACGACTCCAGTCTAGCGCCAATAAGTTTTATTGGAAAAGGGAGCTAATTAATTGAAAAATTCAAAGTGAAAAAGTAAGATGGTAAACAGGAGGGCTTCTCAAGTGCCTGCTATTAATTAGCACACTTGTATTGCGGTTGTGCCCGTTTAATACATTTTTTTCGTGTCGAAGCAAATATTTAATCGATCAATATTGGTCGACAAGGAAAACTTCGTCGGATTTCTAATAAACGAACTAAAATAAATATCGCCTTTCTCTCTTTCCTAATTATTCATTCGAGTTAATTACTTTTTTCTTGTCCTGACAGTTCGGTTGTCACGGTTCAAGACGTCTCTTTTTTCTTAATTTACAGATACTTCAATTAGAAGTTCTCCAGAAATAAAGGTAAATAATTTGTATGAGAATAATTAAGCTGTGTTTTTCGCTTCCATTTTCACGGCGGGACAATTTATATTACGAGCTTTTTACCTCTGACTTTTCTGTAAGATCACGATACGAAGTAATCAGTATATTATGCTCCGTGCATGCAGTAGAATCGAATATTAACAAAGAGACATTCAAAAATACACTAAAACATAAACAGATATTGGCGAATAGTGAGTTGGTCGGCTGACCGTACTACAACATTTGAATTTTCAATTGCCGGATGCCCTAAATACAAACCAAAAGTGTGTGTCAAAAAAAAACGTTTTAATTCAGGAATTTTATCACATACGATATATCAGACTCTTTTTCCATTATCATCAGATATATATTTTACCCAGCACCTTGACTTAAACTGTTACCAATTTTGTATTAGGAGAATATGATTTGTGAGGAAGTTTTTACGCTCATAATACAAAGAGTATCAATTATCAAACTTTGGTAAAATTTCTCTGGTTACAGAGAGAGCTTGGTAGAGTAGGAGGCCTTTTTCCATAATCCAGGGAGCTGTATATTTTCGAATATAATCTGTAAGGAAGTATTTGTGCTCCTAATACCCAGAGTATGAATTATCAAACTTTTAATGTTTCTTTTGCTTCCAAGAAAGTATGATAGATTAGGAGGTATTCTCCGTCATACACAGAAATATGTTTTACACTTTACATGCGTGTTGTATCAGGAGAATATAATCAGTGAGGAGGTTTTTGTGCTCCTAATACACAGAGTATCAACAACTAAACATTTTTAAAATTTCTCTGGCTACGGGGAAGGCTTGGTAGATTAGAAGGTATTTTCCCATCGTCCACGGGATAGCACCTTACCTTGGCTTAAACTGTGGATTATATAATCTGTGAGGAGGCGTTGTGCTCCTAATACCCAGAGTATTAATTATCAAACTTTTAAAGTTTCTTTTGCTTCCAAGAAAGTATGATGGATTAGGAGGTATTCTCCGTCATACACAGAAATATGTTTTACACTTTACATGCGTGTTGTATCAGGAGAATATAATCAGTGAGGAGGTTTTTGTGCTCCTAATACACAGAGTATCAACAACTAAACATTTTTAAAATTTCTCTGGCTACGGGGAAGGCTTGGTAGATTAGAAGGTATTTTCCCATCGTCCACGGGATAGCACCTTACCTTGGCTTAAACTGTGGATTATATAATCTGTGAGGAGGCGTTGTGCTCCTAATACCCAGAGTATTAATTATCAAACTTTTAAAGTTTCTTTTGCTTCCAAGAAAGTATGATGGATTAGGAGGTATTCTCCGTCATACACAGAAATATGTTTTACACTTTACATGCGTGTTGTATCAGGAGAATATAGTCAGTGGGGAGGTGTGTGTGCTCCTAATACTCAAAGTATTAATTGTCAAACTTTTAATGTTTCTTTTGCTGGTAGATTAGAATGCATTTTTCCATCATCCACGGGATAGCACCTTACCTTGGCTTAAACTGTGGATCATATAATCTGTGAGGAGGTGTTTGTGCACCTGATACCCAGAGTATTAATTCTCAAACTTGTACAGTTTTTTTTGTCTACGAAGAAAGTATGATGGATTAGGAGGCATTCATCATCATAGACAGAAATATGTTTTACACATTACATGCTTGTATCAGGACAATATAATCAGTGAGGAGGTGTTTGTGCTCCTAATACACAGAATATCACCAACTAAACAATTTCTCTGGCTACGGGGAGGGCTTGGTAGATTAGAAGGTAATTTTCCATCCTCCATGGGATACCTAGCACCTTACCTTGGCTTAAACTTGTCCCATATAATCTGTGAGGAGGTGTTTGTGCTCCTAATAGAGTGTCTAATAAGACATTTCTAAAATTTCTATAGCTACCAGGAGAACATGATGGATGAGGAGATTTGTTTCCATCATTTACAGATATATATTTTAACATCTCAGCCACCTCCCTTTCCTGGCGCAGCTGGAGCACTCGCTTTCGTCACGTGCAACCCCCCCGCCTTGGGATCTGCCACAGGGTCCGCTTGATCCGAAGCTTTACCCTCGAATCGGCGCTTCCTGGCCATCGCTTTCTGTTCGCCAGTCCTATTCTTCTTGGGAGTAAGAGGTGGCCCACCACCACGTCCTTGAATAAGGACTCCTTCGAATACCCCTCATCCGTTACCAGACTCCTTTTCAGGGCCCTGCTTGTTGGGACGCGCCCGATGGGTGCCTCCACCGCACGGGAAAATTGGATATCAGGAGCATTTAAGCAGTGAGGAGTGTGTGTGCTCCTAATTCCAGTTATTAAAATTTCTTTGGCTACCAGGAGAGCATGGTGGGCTAGGATTTCTTTTTCTATCATCTACAGAAATATATATTTTAGCACCTTACCTTGGCTGTGAGGAGTTTGTGCTTCTAATACACAAATACTTGTAAAACTTCTCTGAGTACAAGGAGAGCATGAAGGATAAGGAAATCTCTCTGATGATCAACAGAAGTATATTTTAACACCTTACCCAGGCTTAAACTTTTTCAAATGTTCTATCAGGAGAATATAATCAGTGAGGAGGTGTTTGTACTCCTAATACACATAGTATACAAACTTTTGCAAAAAAAATTCTTGCTAGCAGGAGAGCATGATGGACCTTTTCCATTATCCACAGTAATATATGTTACACCTTACCCTGGTTCAACTTTTCATAAATTTTGTAGCAGGTTAATATAATCTGTGGGGAGAGGTCCTAATACACAGAGTATCAATTGTTGATAAACAGCTCCTTTTCAATTATCCACACCCCTTACCTTAAGACCTTTAAGAAATTTTGTATCAGGAGAACATAATCTGTGAAGAGGTACTTTTGGGGGCGCTATAAAATGCCCTTAAAGACGTTGAAAAGTCAAAAACCCAACAATTTTTCATTATACCTTGTTTTGTACGATATAACCTTCGAATTTGACAGGTAAATTAACGAGAAACCTCTCACGGACCCCGTGATGCAAACAGTTCTTGCCTATACATACCAAAAGTGCGTTAGCTTTGAAAAACACGTCTCCTTAAATGAATCAGGAAGCTGTTTTCGGTTTTTTGTCAGTGGCGGCGGTCAATTCGTCAGTAAGTACCCCCCCTAACGTTGCAAGATTTCTCTTTCAGTAAAATCCAAGTGTTTCCGCGATTGCAGTCTAAGCGAATACGACCTTCCCTCACTTGAACCAATTATATTTTAATTATGGGAATTGTAGAAATTACTTCTGAATTATGAGAAAATTTGCTACACAGTTCAGAATCACCATGCCGATCTTGAAGGATATCTTTTGGTATTTTTCCAGTCTATTAGGGGTGTACAAACAGTCCAGTTCCCCCTTCCAAGTGTGTTCAAGATCGGATCCGGAACTCAACACCTGCCTGAGGTCGTCAATTCAGAATGCTATGCCGATTCTAAAGGAGGGTAAAACAAACCACTTCCAGCTTCCTCACTGTTATCGTTTTGTAGGTATACGAGAGTTCGGTATTCCAGTACTCGAGCCCATGAGATACCCGAGCTATACCTTTGTACCCCTGCCCCCTGTCCTCTACAGACACGTGTACACCGACATCGAAATGCTTGGCTGTCTGGACGCCGAAATTAAGGATGTTGAGTAAGTGTTTGGGAGGAAGCTTTTCTTCAACACTTCGGTTGCAGTGCCCATTTTGAGGAGGCAAGCTTTTTCATTGTCATCGTGGCGCTTTTAAATAAAGTGCGTTACGATGCCCACTATGAATACTTTGGGAGAATCCTGGATAGTGTTGATTCCTACACTGAAGGAACCTGCGGTTACGAATCAAGTGAGACGCCTGTCCCCTAGTGGAGTTTCTAGCCTCTGATTATAGCAGGGAATACCGTCGAAATCACTTTAAGGGGAGTAACGGAAGAGTTCATTGAAGTTACGGATGTCAAAGTGAACGTAGTGGACGTAGAATCAATCGTCTTCAATTACCAATCAGCTCAGGATCCAGAAGTGGCGAAGATGTTGTCCAAATATCTCAATGACAATTGGAAAGCAGAACTAGGAAATGAAGATCATAAGTATGCGATGCTATACGCAGAAGTGTTCAGGAACGCGTCGAATGCAATATTTTCAAAAATTCCTTTTGAACTTCTTTTTCCAAAAGAAGAGCCAGATCAATAACCCCTTTTTTTTAATCAGGAGAACACGATGAACGTGCAAATATTTTTTCACGTTTCAACAATTTATTTTTGGTTTTGTATTAGGAGAATATACAATAGAAGTTTCATTTCTGTTACGGATACCGTGTGTATTAGGGTAACAGATGCCTCCTCTCCTGATACAGAATGAGCAGAGGTAAACAGGTGACCAGATATTCAGGTAAACAGGCAAACAGGTAAACAGGTAAATAAGATCTTTATATGTTTACCTGTTACTTCTCCTCTCCGTATGGCGCTAGCTTTAATTCAAGTGGCGCAATTGAGCGCATACCAAATGTATCAGGTGACCTAGTTACAAGGGACAAAAATACGTACTGGGGGGGCTACGTTCACTTGGCCCCCCCCCCCAAATGTTTTTTCGGATTTCTAAAAAACGATAATGGCGCAAGAGTTATTATCGGTGGCGCATATGAGCGCATACCGAGCGCATTCATTTCAAAAAATACGACTATCAACTCTCAGTGGGGGGCCAAGTTAACGGACCCCCCAAAAAGTATAGCAGAAGATAAGTAGTTGAGATATTCCCCTTGAGAACAGAGAAAGATCTCCAGATTCATGATTTTCTCCTTGAAGTCGGAGGTAATTTACTGAAAACCTTCATATCCAGTATGCTGTCCCGGTAGGTTTAAAAAATCTTTCCGATGAAATACTTATATATTAGGAGTATAGAAAATGCCCCTCCCCTATGCTAACCTGATAGCAAATATCCGGAAAGTTTAACAGAAGACAAGTAGTTGAATATCTCCACGTTCATGATGTTTTCCTGGTAGGCTAAGACAATTTACTAGAAACCTTCTTGTCTATTATGTTCTCCCGGGACAAGAGGAAAGTTACAACATGTTTCTGATGAAATGTGTATGTATTAGGAGTATAGAAAATTCTTCTCTTATATGATGTCCTGATACAACAAATCCGAAAAGTTTATCACAAGATAAGAGAGCAGCAGAGAGATATCTCCACGATCATGATGTTCTGGTAGTTTGAGTCAGATTTGTAAAATCCTGCATGTCTGTTAAGTTTTCCCGGTAGCCAGTTTTGCATAAAATGCGTATAATTTAGGAGTATAGAAAACGCGAACCTGATACCAAAATCCGGAAAGTAGTTCAGACATTCCCCTTGAGAACAAAGAAAGATCTCCATGTTAATTATGTTCTCCCGGTAGTCAGAGGAAATTTACAAATTATGCATTAGGAGTATTCCTCTTCCACTATGCTAACCTGATACAGGAGAAAACACCTTGAAAGTAACAGAGGACAAGTAGTGGAGACTTTCACCTTGAGAACAGAGAAAAATCTCCACGTTCATGGTTCTCCTGGTAGCCTGAGGTAATTTGATCAAAAATGTCCTTGTCCATTATGTTCTCCTGGTAGCCACAGGAAATTTACAAAATCCTTATTTATCTATTTTATTCAAACAAAGCAGGTATCTGTAATCCTGATATAGTATTTTTGAAACAAAAATAGTTAAAATTCACATTTGTTTCAGCTCCTGATACAACCATGTTTAAAACAGAAACTTGTATCAAGAGAACATCATAAATGAGCAGAGGGAAGGCAATTCACTCACTGTCTTTTAATTCATTGTCCTGACAGTACAATTTCTACTAGGAGAGCAAAGCGCGTTTCTGTAATCCTGATACAGTAGGTACTTTTAAAACAAAAACGTATCAAAATAAATGTCTACATTAGAATCATAGTTAGAAAACCTATAAGTAATTAATTTTATACCTTCTGACTTTCCTGTGATCCTGATACAACAATTTTTACGGTTCTAACACTAGTTACCGGAGAAAATGTTTATTAGGAGAACAGAACATATATTATTTGAAAATCTAATACCCAAAACCCCAGGAAAATATAATTTGGCAATTCCATCGAAAAATTATCAAAAACTAATCATTGGCAGTCATTTGCATTTACAAAGCATACTTTGATTGAAATGCGTTTCACCCGATCCGAACGTTACACAGTAAAATTCAAGGGAACTGAATGACTTTGACTTGAAAGGAATACCCCAACTCGTGACATTAAATAATGAAAAGCATTAAAGGTTATGATTCTTAATCAGAGGAAAGAAAATTGCAATAAATCGCCATGAAAGTAATTCGTTAATATAACGTCAGTTTGTTGATTGTCAGTTGTAAGTTGAACGTGGGTGTCACTTGTCAATCCCAGTGCCAACTTCGATGTATCTTCTTATTTCGCAGCCGCCTTTCTGAGATTCAATTAGGCTCGTAATTGGAATCAATCGTTCGAAGTAATGGACGGAAGAGAGAAATTTTTTCATTACTTTTGTTTAGCGTTCTGATTAAAATTGGTTTAGAGTTCAAAAACATCGCATCGTTTCTAACTAGACTCGTTAATTTTTGGCGACTTAAAATTTAAATAATATCGAAAGTTGGGATAATAACCGAACGACTACCATTTGAATTTCGTACGGTCGTCGCGCTCTCTGATCTCGTGTATGTTGAGTCAAGCTTATGGAAACCCTGTTTATAAGTGGGTGGTTTGAGAAAGAGCGCACAGGAATAGACTAGAGTCAATGAATATTCAATAGCTCTAACACAAGAGTCGCAAACGAGCATCGGAATGCGGTTTTGAGTAACTCCATTTACTTCCCAAGGGCCCCGTACAAAAACTACCCTTGCATATACATTTAAAATTAGAAACATCAACCTCGTCAAAAATCGACGAGAAAAAATCGTCACCCACAATTACTCCCAAACTTAAAGTACACGTTATCCTTCGGTGGGACTTTATCAAAACTGACTTTCAAAAACTTGTAGACAGAATGGATTCAATATTTGCTTTTTCAATTAATTAGTATTTGTTGTTTGCGAATTTGAATTCCAATTTGTATGGAATAATTGATTTGATTATTATTCCTATTGTATTTCAATATTATTCCCGAGATTATTTCGTCCTTTATTTTCATTTCATTAAAACTTTTAGTGAAAATGGAAATTTATATTTTCTTAAGATGAAATTCCGTTTTATTTATTTATCATTTAATCTCTCTTATTCTCATCATTGTCATTCTAGTATTTGATCTACAATTCATTCATCGCACATTTTAATCGACTTTCACGATACCTACTACCTGTAAACTCTCATACTTCAAGCCTCAAGCTTCAAAGATCGATTGCCATAAAGGATGACTACAGAATTAGTAAGGTTCGATTGAAGTTTACAATCTGTAAAAAGAATGCTTTAGAAAATGTGGTTTTGTCTGATTGGTTAAGTATAAATAAGTGACGCAATCTTTCCGGGAAATATCACGTGTTTTGTTTTAGAACATTCGAGAAGGGTCGCGACCACTCGGGAACACTCGAGTTTACAATATAAGCAAATCGAATTGCGTGTCAGGACAGTTCTAATTTCAACGTCGAAGGAGTAAATAGTTCGCGCTGTTATTAATTGTGTACATATGAGTGATAAATACTATTTTAACTGTTATAAATTAATTCATTTTAATAGTATTATAAATCTTTTGTTAATTAATTCTAAATCAACTTACAATAGAATAAGAAACCTTGCAGGTCGCCTTCCGTATTTACTATAAACACCTCTAATATCGTCGCAATTATTGTTACATTTTTCTCTTCAGCACCCACGCTGTGAGTAGGTTTTTTTTATTCTTGGCTTACCCCTGAAATCCGTATTCATCTCCTACATGAAATTGTATGGTTTAATACCTTCTGGGTCGTTAATCCGTGAATTCGCCTCTTATTCTCCTTGTCCCTACTTCATCCCATTTATATCAATCAATTTTTTATTTCCGCCATTTGGTAAAAACTGTTCTAACATCCTCTTCCTCCATCTTTCTTTTTGTGTTCATGTTCTTTCACCAAAAAACTATCTTTTTCTTTATTTTCCTCCCTGCGTCTCGACTCTATCCTTAACTTCTCCACTTTTGTTTCCTCCTTTAACTGTTTAGTCACAGTACCCATTTGATATTCTAGTTCATCTCATTCCTTTCAACCCCATATCTCCCTTTCATACATCAACACCCCTCTCACCATTGCATCAAAAAGGTATATTTTCTAATTCAGAACTCTTTTGAATTTCCGCCCTTTTTTCTTAATTCTTTTGTTTGTGCATTTGCCCCATTATTTCTTTGTATCTGGTACCATAACTATTTAGATTCTCTTACCTCCTCTCATTTCCCCTCTCCATCTCTTATTTTCCATTTCGTTTATCCCCCCTTCTCAAATTTCGCCTTCTTCGTTATCTCTATTCCTCTTCTTTCCCAATACCTCCATTTTTCCCATCTTTTTATTCATCTGTTCCACCTCTGTTGCCTTCTTCCTTCTTCTTATGTAAAAGTTAACTAAGTTTGGGCTCAGTAAAAATCTCTGTCGCAGTTCAGAACACTGTTTAGACTGCTTCCCTCCTAGCCTTACCCTAATTTTTGTTTACTCTGTCAAACTACCTTCTGCCTTAAGCATTGGGTTATAAATCCGGAGGTCGGGTGTTCGAACCTGGGTTGCGGTGAATTTTTCATCTGTGGCGGAGATGGAAATTATCTTAGACCAGTTCCGAGCATTCTACCGGCTACTCCGAATTAGGTTTTCCTGCAGTTTTCCTAATTCGTAAGGTAAATACCGAAGTAGTATAGACCATCTTAAAAAATTAAATTATTAAATTTCCCTGATTTCTTCTTCATATTCTTTCCGTTTCTTCATCTCTTTTCGTTACATTTTTTTTGTTTCCTCAACTCCTCTCTTTTTCTTTCTTTCTCAATCATTGTCCTGTATTTGTATTTCTCTTCTATACACTCTCTGTCTCACCATCCCCTTTATTACCCTCGTGCTACGTTACTACCTGGATATTCTTGCTTAAAATTCTCCATTCTGTTTCGTAATTCGAGTAACAGTTCTCACTCTTTGTTGCATTCTTTATTTCTTAACTTTCTATTTTGTATGCCTCTTCCCATCTCTATCCATTTTCCCTTATTCCCTGTTCTAACTCTACGCATTTTTATTTCGTTTTGCTCCTTTCTCCTGTTGTTAGTTTCTGTGCCCTTACCTCCCCCTCCACCCCCTTTGCTTTCTTTTTTACTTTTAA